CATGATTTAAGTACCTAAAAGTAAAAACAATAGAATTTAGCATATCAATTAACTTTTACTTTCATTGCAAGTGTTAATAACTTAGTGACAAGTAAATAACAAACATTGTTGGACACAAGGTAATTGAAAAGAAATTGGATTTACAAAAATCAAATTGATAGACATGAAGCAGGTAATTGAATATGTGAAATCCAATTGTATCAGTGGAATTCACAAAAACAAGTTGAGAAAACTAAACATACTCTCAACAATCAATCAAATGGACAAGAATTTACTTAGCACACAGCTGGATTAATGGAACATAAAAACAAAATGATGCATATTATGCAAACATGAAACGCAGTTGGATTTACAAATATCCAATTAGTAGACATGAAGCAGGTAATTGAATATGTGACATTGCATCAATGGAATGCACTGCATATGGAACAAAATAACAAATACATGTAATTGTATCAAAGACAATTGCCAAACAGGATTTCGGTAATTGCATCACTACAATCTAATTGCATTAGCGAACTGCACCAAAACATGCTTCCAATCATACACAAAAATAATGCCAATAATCAATCAAATGAGCTAATAATAATCACCATATCACCATCTAATATAGCTATTGTACCTTTTTGGGATAGATGTGACAACAATGTGTATCGCGAAATCTGATGGGTTGTGCTTTTTGGGTCAGTATGCCCTCACGTCAAACAATTAGTGATTTGCATGGGTATGCATCCCTTCACGTCGAGCAAGGGCTGCGAAGTTGTCGTTATGTCTTTATTGTGTGTTATGGCCACTATATCTTGCGCCTACTCAAAGAGAAACAAGGGCATCAGAAAAGGCCCTTCAACCCATTTAAAGATATAAATTTTGAGAAAAAAACTCATTTCTAGTTAATTGACAAATACTGACAACGATAAACTGAGAGAAGAGTTGGTTCCAAAAACACAATCCAAAACTACTCAGATATTCAATCCAAAGAAAATAACTAAAACCCAATTATCATAGGTCAAACCCAAAAGACAAATATTGGCTACTTATTCATGAAATTATAAACCAAATTAGAAATTCAAAATACAGCCGAAAAATTCAAACTAAACATCATTTTAAACAGTAGTGTATCTCCTCATCAACATATGTATGTGCTGTGTACAAAAGTTCTCAACTTCTTCTAATTTCTCTGGGCATATATGAAGTAAATCCTACAAAATTCTCACCCAATAACAATGATTTTTCTTTTTTGATAACATAATTCAATTCTCACCATGTCACACAATTTAATTAAGTGCGTCAAAGGTTGGCCATGTTTTTTTTTACAGTGACTTTAAGTTTCAAAAATTAGTGCTTCGGTGTGACCATGAAAAAGAATATTAAAGTCCAAAGTTGTCACATCCAGGGATCGGCTCCGCCGTAGCACGATATTGTTCGCTTTGGGCCCCCCTATCTCACAACAACTTCCCAATGGGTCACCCATCCTGGGATTGCTCTGGCCCCCAACTCGCTTAACTTCGAAGTTCCCATGACTCCGAAGCCAGTGAGCTCCCAAAAGGCCTCGTGCTAGATGGATGCGGGCATGTACATATAAGGCACATCAACCCCCTCTCTATTGGTCGATGTGGGATCTTACAATCCACCCCCCTTAGGGGCCCGACGTCCTCGTCGGCACACTCGCAGCACACGGCAGAGTGGTCCGACGTCCTCCGTAGCACGATATTGTCCGCTTTGGGGCCCCCTCTCTGCCCTGACGGTTTTGTTTTTGGGAGCTCACGACAACTTCCCAGTGGGTCACCCATCCTGGGATTGCTCTGGTCCCAAACTCGCTTAACTTTGGAGTTCCCATGACTCCGAAGCCAGTGAGCTCCCAAAAGGCCTCGTGCTAAATGGATGCGGGCATGTACATATAAGGCACATCAACCCCCTGTCTGTTGGTCGATGTGGGATCTTACAAAAGTGGTCTAAGAAGATGAATAAAATAAAGTCTCAACCATCTGTAAAAAAAACTTAATCACAGAATCCATATGTATCAACACATCAAGCACAACAAGGGGAGCAAGTTTATTCATTAGCTCAAAGTCCAATTCGATCAGGAAGTGGCCAGATTTTGAGGAAAACCCATACTGACTTCCTTATTTCACAATGAAAGGAATCACAACTTTGTTAGATTCGGACACCTACATCCACAAACAAGAAACCTCAAACTAGATACTGTCTTTATATAATTTCAACACAGCCATTAAACTGGACTTACAGCAGAAAATTTGAATCTCTTTCTAATCATTTTTTCTCCTTTAAGACTTACTTTTTTTTTTCTCTTTCCATTTTCCTAGGAGACTAAAGTGCAAATATGATCAAGTTTTCATACAAATGTGGCTATTTACTATTGAAAAAATATTAATTTGAAATGACCAACTATGAAATTTAATATACAATAAAAGTCATAAGGGCATAACTAAAATTGAATTGCCTTAACCTTGAAATTTTTACAACAAAAACCAAAATGGCAGCTTCAACAATTATGCAGCTTCTCCTGCACTAAACAACATGGCTAAAAAAATTCTTGTTAAAAACACTAATTACTTTATACAAAGAGAAAATGTAATCTTATAAGAAGAAAAGATTGAAAAGTGATAAAAACTCTAAAATATGAAATGAAAGTTGACACAAGAAAAGAATTCACATTAATCTTTTAAAAGAAAAATAAAGATAATCATCAAGCTAATAATTGTCAAGATATATGAACTCAACAACACTATAATTTTTAACAAATAAAACCATGTAAAGAATACACACCAAGAACGAGATACAGTAGAGCATGCGCCATGACCTTGCCATTACAGGTGTGGAAAACATTGAATAAAAATTAGTTTCAATCTCCATCACCCACAAAAAAAAAAAACTCAGTTCTAACACAAATAGGCACTAGATCTGACATTAAAACCTTCAATGACCCATAAATTGCAGCCATATATGACAGAAATACTGATGAAATTGATAAAATCTTACCTTTTCTTATGAATTTCAGTTTTGGAAAGGGATTTAGGTGTCTAGGGTTAGGGTGTTGGGGATTTGGGGGTTTTGGTATGAGAGAAGCAGAATGAACCCAGAGACGTAGCGCTTGGCAAGAGAGAGAGAGAGAGAGAGAGAAAAGAGAGATAGGTTTTGAGAGGGCTAGCCAAGAAGAAGAGGCAAAAGAGGAAAATTTTCAGAGCGCTAGCCAGCAAAGGAGAGAGCGAGAGACGGGGTAAAGAGCAGGTGAAGCTGGCCATCATCGTCCTAGTCAATGGTTGCTTGCTGGATGCTAGAAGAAGATGAAGGAAGTGAAATAGGGGGCTCGATTTTTTACAGGTTGGGGATTTTTCTTCAACATGCTGAGAAGGTTTTCAAGTTGTATCATTTAATGGTGTAGATCTGTCCTTGGTGTGGGTTAATTGGCAAAGACCATGCATGGTCTGATTGTCCACCCCACCATGATGGAAGCATATATAGCTGATAGCTCTTGGTTACTAGTTTATTTTATAAATGTCCATCTCTTGCATTTTTATCATCAAGACTCAGAAGCTTACCGCACCGTAATTCCATAAACAAAATCAATATCCACAAAAAATAAAATTACTTCCAACAACCATGTAATCTACCCTATGCACTAATCTCATATATTTTGAATTCCAACCCATCGTGCATAATCAACCCACCTGTTCCACAATATAAAGAATCATGAGAATTGAAGAGGAAAACACAACCAACTAACATAATGAGATTCAAGGGGAACTCAGATCTTACATCAAGGACCCCAAGAATGTGTTGCTTGTTCGAACAGCAAAGCAAATTGCACTTAGTATAATCTTGTGTTGGTGTAGCAAGGGTTCTAGAATTCGTTGTTCGATTACTCCAGTGAGAACTTGGTACCTTTAAAACAAAATACAAAATTAGTTAAATACTCATTCCTAGACATAAAACTATAAATATATCCTATACTATTTAATGTATATAAACACACCCTAAATAAACCCAAAAATCGACAACTATTGATTTTTGGATTTAATTTCTATGTTGGATTACAGTTTTGACCTTTTGTTTTGAATTTTGAGAAACAGGCCCAAAACGCGCCTGCTAGGATAAGCATTTCTTGAAATTTATGTTGGTGACATCGTAACTGAAATATGTTTGGCAGTCTCAGCAGATCGAATATTCGAAACGAGCTTCGTTCACTTCTTCGAACGAAGTGAGCTTCGTTCACCTCTTCGAACAAAGCTATGATGTGGTTCTAGATCTCCTTTTTCGATTCTTCTGAGCTTGACTTTTGGTGTGAGGTGTAGATTGGAGTTCTATTGCTTCAATTTTCTTTTCTTTCTTGTTTGAATTGGTAATTTTTGGATTGATATTGTGCTGCATGAGATTCGATTGGAGCTTGGTGCGATTTGTGATCTTCGATTTTGAGGTATTCGATTTTTTCTTGTGAATTCATATTCGTTTTTTGAGGTATTCGATTATATTGTAGTATGATTTTTGGTGATTTCATGTTCGATTAATTAAGTTGTTGATTAGGTTTTCGTTTTCAATTTTTGCAGTCTTGGAGTTTAAATTTGAAATGCATATCCAATTCTTCTTGATTTTATCTGTTTATTTTTGTTATTGCTGATTTGGAGGTAAGCTATTTGATTTTCTGATTTCGTTCTAATTTGTACTTAGATATTCGTTTGAGTTTTAAATTGTGATTTTAATTTCTTTTTGTTTATAATTTGGATTGATTTTAGATTCGTTTTGGTTGTGGATTTGCTCTTGTGTTTTGGTTTGAGCTGTGGTTACAATTTTGTGATATTCGATTTGGTTTTCATATTAATTGAGGCATGCTTTTTCAATTGAATCTGAGTATATTCGTGTTTTTTTTGTTTATGCACTATTGGTTTTTGAGTTGACTATAATTCATTGTTAATGCACTCGGCATCCACTGTTATTGCTAGTAGTCATTTTTGTTTTGTTTGTTTTTTTTTTTTTATAGAGATATGGATGATTCGAGAGTGGCGAAGTGCACCTATGGTGCTGGAACTTTAATGCTTATTTTGTCTTCAACTACTACTTTTGATTGGGTGTCCAACGAGTTGTGTAGTAGGTTTAAACTTAAGTTAGGTCATTTTGAGTTGAGGTACTCTTTTATGGATTGCTCCAATTGTTTATTGGAATCAGATGATGATTTGAAAATAATGTTTATGGTATGTGGACTAATGAAGGATCAATTAGCAGTGAGTTTGGAAATGACTATTTAGGTAAATATGATAGTTGTGGAGGTCGTGAGTATTTGTCTACTGATTGGGAGGGTTATATTACTCATGAGGGTTAGAAGTTTGAGGGTGGAGTTTGTGAGTTCCGTGATAAGTTGGCTAAGTACTCGGTTGAGAATGGTTTTAAGATGAAGTATTTGAAAAATGAGCCTCGTCGTGTTACTGCCGTGTGTGCTAAGAAGGAATCAAATGGTTGTGAGTGGCATGTGCATGCTGCTAAGTCCAATGTAAATGGATTTTTTTTATATTAAGAATTTAAATAACGTACACAGTTGCAGTGGTTTGATATGTGAGAAGAGAAATAAGGCAATGGGGTCTCGTTTGGTGTCTTCAATTGTCAAAGAGAAAGTTCGTAGCAAATCCTTTGGTAAGGCCTATTGAGCTGATTACTGATTTGAAGGAAAATTATGTATTGGATATCCCTTATCATGTTGCGTGGTATGGGAAGGAGTTGGCTACTAAGGATTTACATGGTGATGAGGAGTTGTCTTATGCTCACCTGCCTTGGTATGTGGATGTTTTGAAGGCCAGCAATGTTAGATCTCATTGTGTGCTTGACTGTGGTGAGGATAGTTCTCATTTCCAATGGATCTTTATATGTTTCAAGGCCTCCATTGATGGTTTTCGATGGTGTAGGCCTATGCTGTTCATTGATGGTACTTTCGTCACAAACAAGTACAAGGGTACTCTTCTAGGAGCTACTGTAAAGAAATAAAGGTATGCAAAGTTTTTTTTTTCACTACTGTTGTTACAATTTTTGTACCCGTTATGCATATCAATTGATGTTAAGTAGTATGGAGTTGTACACTTTTATTGTACCCCTTATGCAAATGTAAATAATGTAGTTGTTGACTTCCATTGAGTGGTATGAACAGTATAGTTATGCAAATGTAAATGCTGTAGTTGTTGACTTCCATTGAGTGGTATGAACAGTTGCTATACTATTCATACCATGCATCTGAGTATTTTTATGCATTATAGTTTTACTCTGCTTCATGTGGTAAGGGTCTAACTAATATAGTTCTCTGTTTCTTGTAGAGGTATTCCCTTTTGCCTTTGTGATTGTATCTGGTGAAACTGTGGACAATTGGAGGTGGATTCTACAAAGGATATCTGAAGTCTTGGTGGATAAAGGTAGGCAACTTACATTCATTTATGATAGGCATGGTGCTATTATCAATGTTGTTAGGACTGTTTTTCTTGCTTTTCCCCATGGTTTTTGTCTATATCATTTGAAAGAGAACTTGAAAAAGAAGTATCCGCATTCTGTTGGTTCCTCTTTCAAGGATCATATTTTATGGATTTTTTTAAAGTTGTTGTATGCACCGACTATTGAGGAATATCAACATAGGTTGAAAAAATTAAGAGATGATGGCGGTCCAACAATAATTGATAAGTTTTTGGCTGATCTCCCTGTCCAAAATTTTGCTAATGCATTTTTTCCGGGAAAGAGGTATGGGGATGTTAGTAATGCCTTGTCCGAGTCGTTTAATTCATGGGTTAAGGATGTGCGTAGGCTTCCAAATTATGAGATGATTGACACTATTAGGGTCAAAATGATGGAGATGATTTCTAGAAGGAAGCTTGCGTCTGAGAAATGGTGTAGCGTTTTGTGTCCAGTTATTGAGGATGAGTTGAAGAATTTAGCTGCAAAGGGTTGTCATTGGAGGATATGTCGTGCGAGTGAATCTATATTTGAAGTTCATGCTGATTTGAGTGTTATGGTCAATTTGGACGAGAGGTTTTGCTCCTGTTATCAGTGGCAATTGCTTAGGTTTCCGTGTCAGCATGCGATTCAAGTTATCCAACATTCCGGGTTATGTTTGTACGACTTTGTTGATGAGTATTACAAGGCAGACTTTTATAAGGCTACTTATGCAACCCCTATATTTCCCATACATGATATTGAGAAGACTCCTCCTGGAGATGTTTTTCTTCTACCTCCTCATACATGAAAGCCTCCGGGATGACCTCTGATAAAGCGCTTTAAGTCAAGCAATGAAACTAAAAGGCAAGTGAAGTGCAAGAGATTCGGTTCTTATGATCGTCACAGTAGGAGGACTTGCAAGGCCCCTATTTGATGTAAAGGTTTTGGAGTATAAAGACTTGAATGAGTGTAGTCAGTTTTTAACTAGTTAAAGTGTTATGTGATTGATTAATGACAATCATGGTTGAAAGGAATAGAAATTGATATGCAAGTTGTTAATATGGCGAAATAGCAGTTACTGCATATGAATACTCTTTGATTTTTGGTATTAATACATAATATTTACCAGTTTTGGTATTTTGCAAATTTTGGTTTTGAAGTTTAATATGAATTAAGCATTAGTACTGTTTGAATTATCTATAAATTAACGAACACTGTTTCATGCGCACTGTTTACTTCATTTTTGAAATTAAAAGATAGTTCTATGACATGTTATTAACAATTTATTTCTATCAAATACTATTAACATTGTATTTCGAGTGCATTGTTATTTCTTGGAGTTCACCTTTTTAGTTGTTTTAGTGTTATGGAGACCATTATTTCAGGTTACATACACTGTTAATTCACGTAAATAAACTGGTTTTTAAATAAGTACATAACTTGAATTTTAAAATTACCTTACTTCAATGTTCTAAACCTACACAAGTCATACGAAACTACAATATAAGCAAGCATTTTGGCAAAATATTTGATTACAACTTCATTCTTTTGCATTTCTCGCTTCTCTCTCTTTGATGGAAATCCAACTTCTTTCATTGCTCATAATTTTCATGAGGACTTCTTTTCTCATTTCCCAGACCTTTTCTTTGTTGAAATCTAATTCTATTTGTTGGTCTTTGGAAAGCTGCTTCATGAAGTGCATGACAAAGATGCCACAATCATTGCTGCATAATACAAATACGCATGCATGAGTTAGTTTAGTATTTTTAGTTAGTTTAGTATTTTTTTAGTTGAAGACGATTAAAGTTTCACTGTTATTGCGAAACTTACGAATTGTTTGCTTGTTGGGGACATTCTCTGTTCTCAGTCATCTTGAAGTTAGCAGTATCATGACGAATCAGATACTTTAATGTCTGAGCATATTCTGGTGTAAGTTCGAAGCTAGCACATATTTTTGCAATCATTTTAGCTAAAGCTTTATTAAGCCCTCTCGGCTTCTTGGCATCAAAATCAGGAATCTGGATGAGTTTTGTTTTCAGTGATGTTGCAGGACATTCCTTAAGAAGGCAGAGGAATATATTTGCTGTCTCAACTTGCATCATAGTCAAGTATGTACTTAGCTTCCTTTAGATTTAGTGTCCTATGTATTAACAGTGTTAACCACTAGTCTTACTTACCAAAACAATTGCCTTCTTATGATAATATTGGAGAGTTTGTTCTGATGTCCCCCTGAATGAGTTGAAGTGTGTCCAATTTTCTTCCTTTTTTTCTGGGTTGTTGTGCTCAGTTGCTTTTTAAGGATTTTGTAGTGTCGATTTTGAAGACTTTTGGCCATGGCAGATTGTAACTTCGATTCGCCGGCCTTCTCGTTATGGAGTTTGTCGTTGATTGGTGGTTATGGAGGTTGTCGCCTGCTTTTGGAGTCAGTGTCGCAAAGATCGGAGTGAGAGGTGAGTTGGTTTTTGGCTTTTTGGGTGCGTCTATTTTCACTGTTGTTCTCTGGGCTTAGATTTTTTTTTCCGATAGGCTTGGTGAAATTGGGCTTTATTGGCTTTTTGAGTTTTCTGGATTTATTGGCTTTTTGTGAGACTTTTTCTTGTTTCTTTTAGTTTATTTGGGCCTTTTTTTACTTTGTCAAATTAGACTGGGTCTTTTTTCTGTAATTTGCGATGGCTTGTTTGATTTGTTTGGGCTTTATTTCGTTTCTAACCTTGTTTTTCTCAACTTGGGTGGGCTTTTTGAAAATCACTGTTAATACGCATTTTGAAACCCAATGTTAATGCGCAGTTTGATAGTTAGAAGAAGCTACACAGTAACAATTTTTTACATTTGAATGTCACTACACAGTAACTATTTGACATTTGAAAGTTAAGAAGCAGCAAAAGATTTTGTTTGGAAGCTATATATTAACAATTTTACATTTGGAAGTTAGAAGCTCGACATTTACTATTTTATAGTTCTAAAATCTATGAAATCCATGCTTTCATCCTTTATTCCCATTTGTGAAATATCAACTTTTTTCACTTTCTATTGTCTTCAATAAAACTTATTTTCTCATTTCCCACACATGCTCTGTACTCAAGCTTTCTTCAATTTGTTTTCCTTGTGACAATTGCTGCATGTAGTACATGACAAGTACACCACAATCATTTATGCAAATTCACACACACACACACACACACACACACACACACACACACATATATTTAGTGAATCATAATTTAATTTGAATTGGGGGAAAAAAAGTGTTATTGTGACACTTCGAATTTTTGGTTTGTTGGGCGCATTCCCTGTCCTCCTTAAAGTTGAATTTGGTGGGATCATGTTTCATCAGATATTGTATTGTTTGAGCAATTACTGGTGTAACTTTCAGGTTCGGAAGAAGTTTTGCAATCTCATCGGTGAACTCAAGAAGTTTTGCAATCTCATCGGTGAACTCAAGAAGTGTGTGAAGCTATTTTTTTCTAAAATTGTTGGAGCACATTCCTTGGCACTATTGAGGAAGACATTTGATGCATCTGCCTGCATTGTAGGCAAGTATGTTGTTAACTTCACTGATTTTTGTTAAACTGTTTTGTTCATGCCTTGTATTAACAGTTCATAGTAGGAGTTTGTCTTACCAAAATTATTTCTTTTTTGTTGTAGTATTCAACGGTTTGCTCAGTTTTCCCCTCAATGAGTTGTAGTGCATCCATTGCAATGAATTGGTGTCAAAGACAAGCAGGGTGTGGTGTCCGCCATCAGTTATTGTTATGAACACCTTTGAAGTTTTCCCTATGCATTCGAGGAGTTTGACAAAATATTCATCGAATGTTCTTGTGTGCATTTTAGAGAGAATGTGAAAAGTATAGGAAGATGAATAATTTGTGATATTTACTATAAGTAATGTGATAACTATGATCTTACGTAAGTGTAGCACGTGATGTATGCATTCTGTTGTCTTTTAGGGTCCTTTTCATCACAATGAAGTATCTCGGCATACGCATCTATGATTTGTCCATAAATTTCAGTATCTCTTAATAAGCTTTGTATGTCATCTTTGAACAAATGCTTGTCCCTTGCCAAAAAGCAGTGCTGTAACAGTATTTGTAGTTAGAAAAAATGTCAATAAAAGTGAAAGAACTGTTCAATAAAGTTCCAGTATAGGGTAATAATACTGCTTGTTTCCTATAAATCCTTTTTCTAATGCATGTCTACCATTGTAAAGTTCCAGTATAGGTAATAACACTGCTTGTATCCTATGAAATCCTATTTCTAATGCATGTCTATGACTGTAAAGTTCCATTCTAGGGTAATAACACTGCTAGATTCCTCTGAAATCCTATATCTAATGCATGTCTACCCCCTGTAAAGTTCCAGTATAGGTTCATAACACTGCTAGTTTCCTATGAAATTCTGAAATTCTATTTTCTAATGCATGTTCAATAATAGCGTCTTCCATTGAAAATGAATGAAACACATTGCCTTACCCATCAACTAAATTTTTCCAGTAATTTCTTAGCTTTTCTTGTGAGAGTTCATCTAGCATGTTGTAGACCTGATATGTATTCCATTGAATGAATGAACCTTTGGCCCTCTTCTTTGATTTGGCTGGTTCTTGACCTTTTTTTTTTGTCTTTCTCTTTTGTGCTCTCGTCAATGCTTTAGGGAATGAGGAATCTAGTTTTGTTGCGATCTTTTCATATGCTGTTTCTTTGATTTTTTTTGGCCCTTGGATGCAAGTTTCTTGATTTTATCTTTTCTTCTTCACCTTCTTTCTTTTTTCCTTTATCATCTTCACTCTGCAGCTCTTGTGCTAATTTTTGACCTCTCAACAAGGCAATGACAACTTCCTTTTCATAATAATATCCAAGTAGGAAATCTTCTCTGCAAGAAGTTGATCATTTTCTAGCTGCAGCTTTGTCATGTATGATTTTTCCTCATAAACATCAAGTTGTATGGAATTCTTGTGATATGCTGCTTCCTTAACCATCTTCTGCAATTGCTGCTGATGCTTCCTTAATTCTTCTTTTTCATTATATAGCATCCGAATCAATTTATTCTTTTTTATGCAGGATGCTATTGCATCATGGACCTTTTGATGCTCTCTTTTCTTTGTCCAATATTCAGCAGCATTATTGATATTTATCATATACTCTTTTGTAAGCTGTATTTCATCCTCCTTGTATTCTAGGACTGATCTAACAATTTCCTGAAGCAACGTTGAATTCTGGTATTCTGGGATTTCAATTTGGTGGTCATCTTGTAGCTGGTGGTGTTGCTGGACTTTATGTTCAGCAGCATCATCATGCTCTTCATTCACTTCAGCATCCTCCTCCTCTTCATTTTCTTCCTCAGTAGCATCATCATGCTCTTCATTCACTTCTTCAGTAGCATCATCCTCCTCTTCATTTTCTTCTTCAGCATCATCATCATTCTCTTCATTGACTTCTTGAGCAGCATCATCCGCCTCTTGAGCTTTAGTGCTTTTTATCTGTTTGTTAAGTAGAGTTAATATTAAGGGTGTACTTCTATGACATGGTATTAAGAGTGTAATTCTATGACATGGTTTTAATAGTGCACTTCTATGAAACGGTATTCATAGTTTACTTCTATGACATGGTATTCATAGTTTACTTCTATGACATGATATTAAGAATGTATGTCTATGACATGTTATTAACAATGTTGTCATATCAGCTGCAGATTATTTGAAAGGAAAGAGTACCTTTATCTGGTTGTTCTTTAGATGATGAAGCTTTGCACTGAGTTCTTGAAGACTCCATTTGACAGCCGCTGGTGTCAGTTGTTCTCTTCCAGGAATTAGAGTGAGCAGGTTAGAACTTTGACACAGCTAATATTGCACAATTTTTTTTGCAATATCACGTGTCAATTCATATCATTAGAGTAATGCTATGAATTTGTAGTTTGAAGATTTGTGTTCTTACCGGTATTAGGATTAGGCAGCCACTCATGCTTGGTTGCTTTTTTTTTTTTGTCCTTCTTGTTCTTCTTTGCTTATTCTAATCCAAAATACATGTAGTTCAAAACTCCTTGAGCAAGTGTACAACTAGAGTTACAGAAAAAATTGGTCATGAAGAGTTATAGGATTATCAATCTTGTTACATCCATAGGACCCTCTTTTGTTTCATCTTCAAGTGCTAAGTTCAAGCACTTTATCAATTGAAGTCTTTGTTATCTTCTTATAACCCATGAAGTATTTCTTTACAAAATGCAAATCTGGCCTTGTTGAGGTTGTTGTGTTTGGTAGCTTCTTGCTCTAGTTGGCAAGCCAAAAATTTCAGCCACATCTTGGCTTTTCATCTCACTGTCACCATCATTAAACTTGAACTTCTTTGTCTTTGTGTCATAAACTTGTATGAGTCTCACAATGTCATAGTTAGACTTCATGCACTCTACCTTTGTTAACCTTTTCTGGATATATGCTTCTATCAATGTCCAAAAAGGTGTCTTTGATAGCAGTGTTAAGACATCGTGCTGATGTTCCAGTCTTTGTCTGATGCTGTCAATTGTTGTTGCAAAAGAGAGCGTGTTGCTCTTGATCTGCACATAATTTGGGTCCTCCCATCTGCGTGGCTTCTTGTTTGTTTTTGTTTTGGATGATGACTATTCGCCTTTTGGTTTGGAGGTTCTTCTGGTTTGTTCTTTCATCATCCTTTATTTGGTATACCTGCATTAGAAATAGGAACATGACAGTAAAGTAGCAGTGTTAATACCCTATACTGGAACTTCACAGTGGTAGACATGCACTAGAAATAGGATTTCATAAGGAACTAGCAGTGTTATTACCATATATTGGAACTTTACAGTGGTAGACATGCATCAGAAATAGTATTTTATAGGGAACAATCAGTGTTATTACCATATACTGGAACTTTACAGTGGTAGACATGCATGACAAATAGGATTTCATAGGAAACAAGTAGTATTGTTACCCTATACTGGAACTTTATAGTAGTAGACATGCATTACCAATAGGATTTCATAGTATACAAGCAGTGTTATTACCCTATACTGGAACTTTATAGCCATTAATCAACATGACAATAAACTAGCGACTAAATTACTGACTTGAATAATGGTCCTATGCAGTCAGTCCAATAGTGAAATCCAATATAGTTTCAACATTTTGTCTTTTATTCGAATCTAAAATACGGTTATTACCCTAGAATCGAACTTTATAGCAAATAATCAACATTACAGTAAATGTTTGGTTTGTAAATGTCTTACCTTTGAAGCGTTTTCTTGTTGAAATTGTTCTTTGAAATTTTGTCATGGTTTTGAAGGTGGAGGTCAGTGTCTGGTGTTTGTTTTTGAAAGTAGATCAAGCTTGGTGGTGGTCATGGAGTCTCGGTTTGGACAGATGATGAAGACGCTTTGATGAAGACGGTGAGTGAAGAGATGTTTTACAGAGATGACTTAATGAAGGCGTGCGTGCTGGAAGTTAAGTTACGATTATTTTTTTTGGGACAAAAGTTACGGTTTTCGAGATGGTAAAATGTTTGGGCTTTTTAATAAATTTGGGCTGGGGTTGTTTTGGATGTTTTTTGAGTTTTTTTGCTATTGGGCTTGATAGTGGCAGACCTGTAATTTATAGGAACTTTAACACTAATTTGTTATATAATAAATGGATTTTGGGCGTGTTTCTAAAGTGCATTCTATGTGGGTTTTTATTTATTTATAAATTCAGCTCCTATTTTGGGTATATTAATGAAGCTCCCAAAACAAAATGTATATCATTAAGCACGTTTCCAATAGTAACAAAAATAAATTATTATCATTTATGACTAGCCTCAACTATTTATGAGCAATGATTAAATATTAGTCTCATTGCCAAATAAAATAATAAGTGAATGAAATAATCAGGATATCTCTTAGTCATCTTAAAGATGGGATGCATGTTTCTGTTGAAGTGAGTCTCCTAATTAATCAAGGAGATTTATTTCCTTGATTAATTAAGGGATTTACTTTCCTATTTTATATAGTTGTCAAATCATTGTATAATTAGGAGATACTTTCCTAATTCTTTACTGGATCTAATTCCTTGTAAAGCACTTATGTAAACTCTTATATATACCTCCTTATGGAGAAGAATAAAATAAGAACCTAACATATTCAAAACCAAATATCATATTTTAGCATGGTATCAGAGCAATCGATCCTCAGTTGTCTCTAAATTCTCATATCAAAATTTCTCCTCCCCTCCTCTTCAAGGGGGGGAGGGGGAGTGAAAAATGATCTGTTTCTCTTTCTCGTGGAGATTTTGCCTCTTTGTTGACTCCGACATACCCTTCTCTTCAGGAGGAGAAGAGGATTGAAGAGAAGTTTCTATGTTCTTAAGCCGTGTTCACAGGGTTTCTGTGTCCTTAGCGTTTTCACAAGGTTTCTGTGTCCTTAGCTGTGTTCACAGGATTTCTATGTTCTTAGCCGTGTTCATAGGGTTTCTGTGTCCTTAGCCATGTTCACAGGTTTTCTGTGTTCTTTAAACTCCTCATATCAAATTTCTCATATTTTTTCCCATATCCAAATCCCTCAAATCTAAATCCTCGTATCGAATTTTCTTGAAACACAAACCCTGAATCAAATCCCTCGTATCGTATTCCTCATATCCTCGTATCGTATCCTCGTATCCTAAATCAAATTCCTCGTATCCTCGTATCGTATTCCTCATACTGCCTTGTTCATATTCAGATCTTCATACCCACATCCTCATCTACTCTTATCCCGAAACCCTAAACACATCTTTTTTCTCTTATTCTTCAATCCTTCCGCTGCCATGAATATCGTTTCCAAAACCCGAATCCAAATCCGAATCCGAATCCCAACCTTTCAACCTGAATCCAAATCCAAATCCAATTCCTACATCAAATTCATACATCAAATCCCTCAAATCAAATTCCTAAATCAAACGGTCGGTCGCCAGTGGAAAGCGACCGGCCCCCCCTTAGTTCTTCAAACACGGAGAATCTACTTCAAAACTACCAGTCACCAGTGGAAAGCGACTGGTAGTCAGAGAAGCTGTTTCAAACCGACCGGTC